GTGGGGTTGGTGGCGGGGGTCGCTGGGGTCGGACGGTGGCGGGGGTGTCGGGGCCGGTGGCGGTGGTCGGGGACCCCGGACCCGGGGCTCCGGGGGGGCAACCACCACCCCGGCTTCGCCCCCGGGGGTCCCCGCGTGACATCCCTGCCTGGAGAAGCAGAAATCCAAAACTTTGAAGAACAAAGCAACCCAGGATGTCGGGAAGAAGTCGTTTGGGGCTCCTCATAGAAATGTTTTTCTTACTTTGGCCTCTATGCGATGGGTCGAGGGAATGTCAGTAGCGCTCAAGGGTAGGATATGGGCCCTTGATACGTTTAATCATCTTGCTCCTATCCATTTCAGGGGATACCGCCTGATAGCGGAATTGTCCGAGGATGAGATCCGCTTGTCTGTGGAATGAGCGTTGGAGATGACGTTCTCTCCTCTGGAGACGAAGTTCTCTTTCGGTGGGGATGGTGTTTTTCCCCCCCCATGTCCACGATGGATGCGAACAAACGTTCCCTCCCCAACCCGTCAGTTTCGATCAAGGGTAATAGGCCACCCGAGAACCCTACCCCCCTTGCTGAACTGAAACGCATTTGGAACGTAGGTCGGCCCTATTTGAAGTGTCATTGTGCTTCCATGGGTAGAGCCGATTGTGGTAGCCGCTAGTACTGACCTCCATTTCATTTGGATATTTTTGGGGGATCTTGATGACATTGGCAAAAAAAATCATTGCCAATCCTGCTATCACCCAGGAGAACGTGTTGGTCGGACTGAACGGTGCCCACAGGAAGGCATTCAAAGAAGCAGCGAGGATCCTCCTCCCTGCCAAGTACCTCAAAAAAGGCCGAGGAATGAGGAGGCCACAACCTCAGCCAACAGGAGAGTTAGGGTAGATCACCAATCCTCCCTTGACGGGTTTGTCCGACTCCAGTTGACTGTTGGGGTAGCACAGGATGTTGCTGCACCCGCCATTCCTACAGGAGTAGCTGTCCGCCCCGTAGAACCCGCAGTTGCTCAGGCTGTTGGATCATCGCCGGCTGCTGCATCCGTGAACCGGCCCCCGCCTGCCAATGCCCTCCCGAGTGCCCTTGTCCCTTCGTTTGATTCCCCAATCGCTACGCCCGCAAGTGACCCCTCCACCCCCCCAGATTCGATAATCACCACCCTCACGGGCAAGAGGGTTTCTGCTCCACCGGAGTTTGCACAGAGTGTCAGTGCCCCTGTTGGGAGGAGGGTGACTAGGAGCCCGTGGAGTTCGCACCGCAATATCATTGGCAAGTTGGCAACTAATCAACTACACTGCGGGCGCTGTCAAATTCTCTGTGATGTGCAGGTACGCAAGGGGATGATCTATAAGGGCCCATCTGGTAGGATGCATTGGAAGGCAATTGAAGATCCTGCTTCGACAAAGAGGAAATTTGTCCATATCCGATACGAAGGAAGAATAATGGATAGGATCAAATTTAGGAAACTATCTGAAAGGATCCTTTCTCAGTTTCTTACTACCTCCCTGATGACGATTTTTTCTTCAATTGTATTTGGATGGACTTATGATGATCCTATTAGCACGGAGTTGTATCGACCATGTTCTGTTTTCAGAAAAATTGACTTGCACAAATGGTGCCAGGAGATGTCTGAAAGGGTGGTATGTCCCTGCTTTTCCCAATGCTTCCTCCCTTTCCATCACCCTGGGACACTAGGAATGACTCAACCTACCGAATCCCCCTCTACTCATCTGCTCACCATTGATACATCGCTAATGGCAAACCCGTTGGCTAGGAGTGTAATCTCGGATGGGCGCAATCATATTCCCCCGCGCAACCCGGATAAAACCCAGGTCCTGGAAACCTTCATGAAAGCCTGGGGTGATACCTTGGCTATTCTGACCACCCGGGCCTTTATCCCACCTGCTCTAATTGAACATATGACGAACATTATGAGGAATGAACTCTTAAGGAGATTAAGAACGGGCATTTACCCCTCTGACACCATAATGAACTCCACGATACTCAAGAAGGAGGTTGATTTCCTAACGAGTTTTTTGTATATTGCCGATACTGATAAGGTTGCGAATACTCCATTTTTTGTATGCAAAAACTTCATCAGAGCTTTGACCCTTGAAAGGCTATCGGGGCTTGACTTTGAGTACGTGAGCATGTCCAATTTGGAGATTCTCTCGGAGGCCAGATATTCTGCGGGATGCCGGTTTCAATTCCTGAAATTGGACAATGCGAATATCCCCGGTATTATGGCAATCTACAAGCAGCATAAGAATGCCTTTAGGTGTTTGACGAATGCATCTAACTCTTTTCTCACCCAGGCCTCTCTAGTGTGTGATCGGGCTCTCAAGACGTTGATACCTGCGGTCATGACCCACTGCGGAGAAGTTTCTCGAATGGTAAGGGATTACCATCATTTGAGTTCATCATTCTCGTGGATTATTGACTACGTACAGGACTACTGTTACAATCTACCTGAGAGCATCTTCTCGGTCTTCTCAGGTGATATTTCCAGATGTTTTGAAAACATCCCAACTGATGATTCGCAGGATGGATTGATAGACGCGATATGGTTTTTTGTGAATCTGGCATTTAAACATAGGTCATCCCATTTGGGTCACAGATTCGTTCGATGTGCATATCATAGGAATGACTTTGTGTCTGGCTCCACGGTGAAATCCATATCTTTGAGATATGAGAGCGTATTTTATGTGCGCCCTGATGAGATTGTAACCTTGTGTGAATGGGTAGGTAATAGATGCTATCCGATGTT